ATAAACATACCTTAGGAGAGGCATGGGAATGAAAGAGGGGGGGAAGAAAATAAGTGTTCTGACAGCTAAAATGCTGTCAGGGCAGGCAGGACCTGTCAAGTAGCTGATCTAGTTTCTGAAGAGGTTACCTAACACAACAAGAAATATTTTCAGAGTACTTGGCTTTTTCATCCCCCCCCCTCCATGACGGAAGCAACTGGGATTTCAATTCTTCTCTCCCTCCAAACATTTACAAACCAGACATAACGCCAGTGTGATAATGCATGAGGTTTTTTAAGGATAAAAGCTAACTTAGAACTGAGCACACAGACGTGAAAGCAAGCTATTTTCATTCTCATCCTTGGTTACATAGGAAACAGGGTTGGCAGCAGCTGAAGGGGTTAACAAGCAGGATTTTACAACACAGAAGTACTAAAACAACAGTCTGTCCTAAGTGTAAAGAGCACGGAAAGCCAGAAGCCTGACCCAGGGCAGCGATGGGAACATCTGTCCCGCTGCACATCTCACCCGGGGATTTGGAATCTGCCGTTCCGTGCCTGTCCTGGGCTTGACACAGCCCCGTGAAAATTATATTCACCATTCGGAAGAAGGGGCAGCAAAAGCACCCTTATGTGTTGGCCAAGGCAGGGCGCTGGGGATACCCAGAGGTGCTGTCAGATGAGATCAGCTGAGCACGGCCGGAGCCCCAACCATGTCAGGTCTCTTCCACACACGCTTCCCGCCTCTCCCACCGCACACAATGAGCACGGACTAAACCAGGCGGATTTACAGAAACAGCCCCACGCTGCCCCATCCTTCACAGCGGGGCTGGGTCTGATCGGGGCCCCGCGGTGCCCCGAGGGCCGGTAGGGAACTGCGGGCCTGCTGAGGGGCAGCGGGACCCCCCGCCCGTCCCCCGGGTTGTCACCAGGCCACAGCGCAGGGTGTGTGACCCCCGTTCCCGGCGGACCGCGGGCCCCCCTCGCCCCCGGCCCGGGGCCCGGACCCCGCGGGCACCGGGGGGCGACTGAGGGGAGGTGTGGGGGGGTGGGGAGCGCATGCGCAGCGCCGCGCGCCGGACCCCAACGGCCGCCGAGCGCCGCGCTGCCCCCTCAGCGCCCGCCGGGGACTCACCGAGGCGCAGGGGCTGGAGGTGGCGCTGGGGGTAGGCGAGCGCTGCACCGTGACCAGAGCCATCGAGGCGCGGCGGGGCCCCCCCGTCCGGCCGTCCGGCGGGGGCCGTCACTCCATGGCGGGCGGGCGGGCGGGCGGGGGAAGGGGGGGGATGCGGAGGTGGCGGCGGCGGCCGCAGGGGGCGGCAGCGGCAGCAGCTCCGCGCGCGCCCGCGGCCTCTCGCCGACTGAGGCGCGGCGGGGCCGGGCCGGCCGGGCACAATGAGGCGCCAGCGCGCACGCGCCGGCTGTCAGCGCGCGCGCGGCGCCGCCCCCTGGCGGCCGCGCCGCGTTAACCCCCGCGGCGCCGGCGGCTCCTGAGGGGGGTCCCGGCATCGCCCCCCGGTCCCTGACGGCACGGCGGGGGCGGGGGGTCCCGGCATCGCACCCCTGGTCTCTGAGCGAGCTGGAGGTCCTGGCATCCATCCCTGGTCCCTGGGGGCGTGAGGTGGGTCCCAGCATCGCACCCCTGGTCCCTGAGGGAGCTGGAGAGTCCTGGCATCCACCTCTGGTCCCTGAGGGAACGGCAGTGGAGTAGGGGGTCCCAGCGTCGCCCCTCCTGTCTCTCAGCCCCAGAGGTGGCTTTTATGAATGTGTGTCAGCTGGGCACCCTCAGTGTGCCTCCTGGCTGGTGATGGTTTGTGGAGTCGCATCCCACTGGGATCCGTGACAGCAGGCTTGGCACCCACTGGTGAAAGTTGGCATTAGTGCTCAAATAATGTAGCTTTTCCTCAGCTGTGGTAGCAACAGTAACTCTTTCCATAATGAAAACAGCATATAACACCTCTTCATACATCAATGCACAAGCCCAAACAGCAAAAAATGAATCCGATGAGTACACGAGACATTTTAGGCACTCAGACATCCACAGATGCAGAACTGCTCAGCGGTTTAGGGTCTGAGGCAAAGGGTCAAGTGCTGTTAAACTTCATTTGCCTTGCATTTTCAGCCTGGTGCTACCGAATTCATGGGAAGGAGGTAATTTGGATCAAGAATCCACCAAATTCATGGGAAGGAGGTAACTGGGATCAAGAATTGTCTTGAGTACTGAATGACACCACCACAAATGATAACCAGAAGCTGTTCTAAATATTAAACAGAGGAAATTTTTTGTCAAGAGTGTGTATTAACCCACAGATTCCTTTTAAGCACATGGCTGATATGGCTTTGATCTGCTCCTCAGGCTGACTGCACTTTGCCCCTGTAAATTTAAGTGCCAGAGAAGCCACATGGTCGCTCTTAAGGTTATTCCCCAGTTAAAATAATGATCAGGGAGGCTCCTGGGCTTTGCTGCAATGGAGAGGTGAGGATCGCTAATGAAGCATTTTGCCTCCTGGTGGACAGGCGAGGATGGAGGACAGGGATGGAGGATAGGGATCGAGGACAGGCTCCCTGTTTGTCCCTGTCTGTAGGGTGGGCTGCACATCCAAAAGACTCCCCAGAGGGATCTGAGCACATGGGGAGAATAAGCAAAACCCACTGGGAAGTGAAGAGCCCTTGTCCTGTGTTTTACAGCCAAAATGTTGCTTTTTTGAAACACGGTATTTATGGATGGTGTGCTTGCAGCACACTGATTTATGGCAAAGAGGTCAAGAAAGTGCCTTCCAGGCTCCTTTTAAATTAAGTAACTAAACTGCATGTTGAGGTGGCAGCCAGGCATGAGGCCATGATGCTGTAAAGTTTTTCCCATGATTTTCTGCAGAGGCAGGAGTTCCATTTGAGGATGGGAAAGTTTTTTCCTCTTCTGGCATATGACTGTTCACCTTTCTCTAAAGTATAATTTGAGGTTTTTTAGTTTCATTCCTGCAAATATAGGGCTGCTACAAGGCACGTAGCTCATCCTCAGATGCCTCTGCACTGCTACAGAGGATGGAGGACTGAAGTTCCCAGAGTGTTGTAGCAGTTCCCTCACCTGGGATTGGCGTTTCATTTTGGATTTTGATCAAGTCATGCAGGGGTTACTATCGAGAAATGATTATTTACACCAACTTCCAAAATTACTTTTGTGTCATTTTTTATACCCTGTAGCTCTTCCAGGTATTTGAACAGCAAACCCTTATAAAAAACATTTACCACAAGTAAATAATAGAGTTGCTATCTACAGTCCAACATATCAGTTGTTAACTACAATAATCACAGATTGGGATGGTTCTCCAGCCCTTAGAAAGGTATCATTTGCACGTGCAGTGTCTTTTAGCAGCAGAATTTAAATGTGGAGGGGGAAGCTAAAAGGCAGATGTATTGGGATTGAAAAGAGCAATTAGAGGGCAGGTTGTGGTCACAGCATCAGGGTTGGTACAAAAAGGAGACTGGAAGCCTGTGGCCTTATTCTTTCCTGTGTGGTCAGCACCTGCAGCTTCAGCCCAGTGCAGCATTTAAAGGATGTGGAGCCGTACATGAGCTGGGTTTGTAAACATTTCCAAAACTGACTATTTAATACACTGCAAACATTTCTCTGGCTAACACAACTTGTTATTACTACATGTTAGGGCTTTTATTGCATAATCTTGGCTGCAAAAGACATCAGAGTGCTCCCAAAATGTATCTTACACAGAAAAACAAAAAAAAGACAGAAGAGGCAATTCCAGCAAAACATCTGTGATGACATAGTCAGCCCATTATTTTGTCAACAGTGCAAGTATTTGATGGCATAATAAAAAGATACACTTTGCTTAGCAAAAACATTAAGGGATAACAGCCAAGTTAAATAGGGTACAATTAAAGGTTTGCTTAACCCACGGGATTCCACTTCCAGAAAAACAAAAATAGAGCCATTTTGATCCCTCCTTCCAAGTTCTATTTGTATACTCTTGTTTGGGGGTTGAAAAAAAAATCACTTAGCAAAAGGGAGAGTATCTTCTTAATTTATGTTTCATACTGAAAAAAGTTTTGTAAGTTAATCATAATAAGCAACAGAATTCTGGATTGCAAAGGGGGAAAACCAGGCACACCTGGGAGAAGAGATAACAGGAATTAATCATGTGCAACCTGCTTTGAGGAAAAAAGTGCACAATCCAGTTTAAAGCCTGACTTTAAATTAGTCCTGTGCACTAATTTTCTGCTTCATTTTGTTAACATAATTGATGCTAGACTTCAACACGTCTTGGAAATGCACTGCATTTCCTTCTGATACATTTTTTCCAAATAAATAGCAAAGAAATGGTAATTTATTACAGCTATTTTTCACATGAAAGTTGACCTCCTCTATTTCAAGGTTTCTTACAAGTTGTCCCATGAAATGGAGACTAATACCGTGCCAGAGGGCAGGGTATTGTGCAGCTGTTCCAATGACAAATACTGTAGATAAATTCACAGTTCAGTTTTCCTGCAGGTAGGAAATCCAAAGATTATACCACTTCCAGCACAAAATACAAATTAAAACCAGCATTAGATAAACCTTGCTTCCTGGCAGAAATTGCCATAAATTTCTCAGCTGGAAGTCCTGCCTAACCCAAGGAAATCTCTGAAGAGGCACCTGATTTGCATTAGAGTAAATGAGTGCAGGATGGCTGTTGAAGATGTGTTTGTCTTTTCCCTTCTCCTTTCCCTATGTTGCATATTATTCCTCAAAGAATGTGGGAGAAATTATGAAAGGAGATTCATCAAATTCCTTTAGGTTCAGGTTTAAAAGCAGTCTAACAACATGGCACTGTGCACTCCCCCCTATTTAGTGCTGTGTGTGCCTTTCCTGCAAGGCTGCTTCAAAGCAATGCAGTTCTTCACAAGAAAGAAAGCCTGAAAATGTTTAAATTTGAGTTTGGAATTAATTTTATGTCTCAGATTCTCACATCTGGTTAACACAGTCCTCCCTTCAGCTGGTAATGGACTTGTGACAGTTCTGGATTTCATGATCCTCGAATCTGAACCTGTCACTGGGCACCTGCAGATTCTCTACTTGTGCCCTTAATGTTGTCTGTTGCTATTCCTAGTCCTTTTTGGATTTTATTTTCAGTCATGTGGTGCAATGATCTAAGTTCAGTACAGAAGAGTCTGTTGGGCTGTGCCAAAGCCAAAAGACAACCTACAGCAATTCTGATCGTGGAAAGACATAGCAACCTTTGGGATTATTGCTTAGCAACTGCAAACACACAGAGGAGTAAAACTCACAGCCCAGCTCCACAGCAGGTCTGAGAAATCCCTAATTCACTTCAAGATTTTTAATGGTGGAGAACAGATGGGCATGTATTAAATTCCTCTTGATTTTCAAAGCCACTTTGAATGCAGGAGGAGTAAAATCTGTTTTGCTACCTGCTCCAAAGGTAAGAAAAACAGTTCTTCAAAGCTTCAGAAAGCAAAAAGAAAAATGTTTTAAAATTTTAATTGTATTGAAAAGGTCATGTATGAAAAGGGTATTGGGCTCTTTGTGACTGATGAGATAAACATGCTCTGTGGAACACATTAGAGTGATAGAGTCTCAAAAAGATTGGACTCTGTTTTTGGAAAGATTTTGTGACTCAGACATCTCCAAAATACTTACCTAAACAAACTGTAGTGTTTCCTGGCCCTATCCCACCCATCGAAATTCCCTAACAGAATAACAATGAAACCATAAGAATGTTATTTATGAGCAGATTTGGGTTTTGTTCAGAAAACACAGAGATAATTTTTTTGTACCTGCAGGGATTCCAGCAAGGATATTTTTCTCACAGAAAAGGAGTCAGGAAAGTGGCATCCTACTAAATAATGGAAAGCTTATCTTGCCTTCAGCTTGAACAAAGGCTTACAGGAAACTTTATATGACCTTTCAAACTTCCTAGGTGTTTATAAAGTTTGCCTCTGTGCTCCATGCTTACTGTTACTTGGGCTCCATTTGGGAATGCCATAGGCCATGAGAGCTCTCTGTATTTTTATAGAATCATAGACTCATAGAATCATTAAGAATGGAAAAGATCTCCGAGATCATCAAGTCCAACTTTTGACCAAAGACCACGTTGTCAACTAGAGCTGGCACTGAGTGCCACGTCCAGTCGTTTCTTGAACACCTCCAGGGATGGGGCCTCCACCACTTCCCTGGGCAGCCCATTCCAGTGCCTGACCACCCTTTCAGTTAAGGATTTTTCCCTTATGGGCCAAATTCTGAACTAACATAAATCAGCACTGAAGTTTATGAGCCAATGGTGTGTTATCCAAACTGGAGGTGTGTCCATGTTATCCTCAACAAATTCCAAGCTTCAGGGCCTGATTCTGGCACTCCTTTGTTGTTTATTTGAACAGTTATGTATTGTCTGTGTGTTCTTCCATACCCTCTTAGTCTCCTCCATCTGTACTGCATTAAAGCAGTGGGAACAGTTCTCTGGGCTCTGCTTCCATTCCTGGCGTTATGTGAATGCCCTGGAATTGAGATAGAACAGTTGCACTAGTTGTTTTATGTTTTGTTTTGGACATAGAGATACTTTATAAACATTTACTAATCCTCAAAACCATCCTAACAAAAGGTTGAGAGCAGCATAGAAAATGTATTCATCATGTCTCAGAATCAGCCACCTCATGAAGCAGAGGCCAGTTGTCACTTTAACATTGCACAGAAACTGCAGAGGGTTTTGTAAAGGATGTTTAAAAAATAACATAAGTATTTGAAACTGCAAGAACAGTTTATTTTGGCACAACAAAACCAGCTGATTTGGAATGTGACCAGAACATTTGGTTAACACCCTTCTTTGAACCAAGGAGTCTGGTTTTACAGCTCATTGAAAGGAACTCACCTAAGCAAGGAACAATTCAACAGGGTGGACAGGTTTCCCTTTTTACCACTACAAATTCAGACTCCTTTACAGCTCATGTCCTTCAGTGGCAAAACCAGCTACCAACTTAAAACCCTTTGTGTGGGTCAGGCAGGCAGTTTGAGCCATAAATACATCCCATTCCCTGGTAGGTAATCATCTTTGAAATCAAATTACCATAAGATGCCAACAAGCCCATGAAGAAAACAGACCTAGAAATGCAATGCTGTGAAGCATCCCACCCATCCAGCAGTACTTGCACTCCAACAGTGGTAATGAACCAGAAGGTCAACATATTAGTAATTACATTTGTGTGCCAGGAGGGCTGTAGATCACATTTATGCATTTCCTGGAAGGTTGAACTCACTTCAGAACAGCTACAAATGCTTAAACAGCAAGAGCAATACATATCAAAAGCAGCAGAATTGCTGTGGATACTGAGAGGCCTCAGTGAAAAGCTCTTTTAAATAAAAACTTGAAAAGGTTAGTGCAGCAGCAAGTTCTGAGTGGAGTTTCATCTTTAATTTGGAAAGGTGTTAGGCTATTTATTAATAGCACCCTTCCTTGCTGTTTTCTAACACTGAGCTGGGGTTTGGCAGCTTGCTGCTGAATTTTCATGCTTTGAATCAAGTAGTAGCCAGCCCTCTGCTCCATCCTGTGTGTGTAAATCCCACTGCAGATGCAGACAGTTATGCCTGGAGACACACAGAAACATTTTTCAAATTGTGCCTTGTGAGCAGCTCAGTTTCTTCCTAATGTTTCACAGAAAGAACGTTTTGAGAAGAAAAACAGCAAGGTTCATGAAACTGTAAAGGGAGATACCTCTTTTACACAATAATCTACAACATTAAGTGCTTGTGAACAACTTGATTACAGAGTCCATGGTATAGAGTTTCCCTTTCCGTAGAAGCTCTGCTGATCCACACACCTGTGTCCTTGTTACCCTAACAAAACATCCAGAGGAAAAAATAGTTGCCAAAGTTGAAGTTAAGTAGTTTGTGGGACAAGCTTCCTCGCTGTTCTTCACAGCTACAGAAAAGCTGAAGCAGAGGCAGCATATAGAGGAATCTTGCTGCTGGGTATCTGACATTTTCCATTACTTGCTTCCTTTGTCTCATATCCACTGGATTTCCTGGAGGCAGGGAATGGACCTAAACAGAAATAATGGTACTGGGGGTAAGAGGATTCCACTGGTTGGAACTGGGGAACAAGTTCTGAGCACTATTCACCACTTGGTTTCTGAGTCTCCAAGTGACCTGCAATTAATCACTCCCCCTTTGTGTCTCAGTTTCTTCTCTCGTAAGAAAGGAACACAGTAAGTTGCTCTGTCTCCAAGGGCTGTTGTGATACATAATTAATCTTTATAAATCATTTACTGCTCTTTGGAGCAAAGGGGCTGTATTTATTTAAGAGTACAAAGCAGCAGTAACAGAATAAAAAAGGAACATAGAAAAAATATTAGTTAATTCCTAACAATAGACTATTGCTGCGTCACCTGTTAGGGCCCTGCTGCATCTTTTGGCATTATATAACAAGCTGCTTTTTTTTCTGTGTCACAGTGATTGAGGTATGGCTGCTCATCCAGAAGAATCAGCAGAGTCTGCAGGTCTGCAATATCCCAAACTTGGACATGAGGATGGAGCTGCCACAGAAATGGGAAGCAATCAGGGGAATGATGAACTGCCATGTCCTAGTAATTATGCTTCGTGGAAAGAGTGTTTTTATGAAAAGGTACAACAAAGGTGTCTGAGGCTGCAGGAGACAAAGGCAAGTGTGATTGGAGCACAAAAGGCAGAAGAAAAAAAGATAGAGAAGAGAGAACCCTGTGACTCACTGGCCAGAGAGTGGTACAGCGAAGAGAGAGAGACACTCGATACTCGCATCTATTTGCTTGACAAACTCCTACCTACATTAATGCCAGGAGTAGAAAATCTGCTAATGGAAGTGGAAAGAAAGCATGTGCTTGTATCAGACAAAGACCCAAGCACATTCGACCCCATCAATTATCTTGCAGAATATCTGATGCGACATAACCCTCTGTACAGTGTTTCTACCAAACCAGGCCCGTACGTGAGAGGAATGAGGGTGGTGGCGGAGGAGCTCAAATCTTTGATGCGAGGTACAACGTCAGAGAGGTGAGGAGGGTGACAGTGTGGCTGGTCACGAGGCCAGAGCTGCTGTCCTGGTCTCTCCTTTACAAAAGGAATGGTGTCACTGCAGCCTGGCTGGTGGGGTGTTGAACAAAACACACCTTGTGGAGTGCAGTGCCAGGGCTGGTATTTGTCTCATCAAAACTTGAGAAGCAGGACAAATGCCAGAACATGTCACACAAAATGAAACACTAGTTATTCCTGTTTAAGGCAATATTCTGCCCTTTACAAGTATATAATTCCTCCTCAGACTCTATCTTAATTACATATGTGCAATGCAAACTGCTTCCAAACCGGTCTAGCTTAGTGACAGCAGTTCTTTGGGACAAGTGTTACTATCAAAGGTCTAAGAGACTCCTCAGATCATTTCTTCTCTATTCTTCCAAACATAATAAACATATAACCTTTTTTTTTTCCCTTTCAGGATGATTTCTTTTGACCAAACCACGAACAACATTGTCCTGGCACATTGTAGAAACTCCTCCTGTGACTTCTACTTAGGCTTTCCTTTCAGATTCTGTTTTTCCCTTTAAAGTAGGAACTGTTTTGTATTTTATTCTGTTGCTTATTTCTAGGCTGCTTGCTTTAGTATAATATTTAATGAATATTGGAAGGGGGTTCCATGTCACCTTACAATATGCTGAGCTTAGAATGTGAGAGCATTAGGTGAGCAATAATGCTTTATTTTCATTGCTCTATTCAGAAAAATATAGAAGTGAACTTCTGAGTTTGCAGATGATCCAGACGTGATTGTGATTGATGTCAAAATTACTCATTTGCTACTAGATCACTTCATTCTGTATCTGTGTTTGTAGAATAATGACTTCTATTTGAATGCCTGACTATTTGCATAAATAGTGCATACAGCTTGAAAATTGGTTTCAGGGCTTCAGTGTCAGGAATTAGGGAAGTAAAATGTTGACATGTCTTATGCATAAACCCTAAATGAAGATAATTGAAGTTCTCAGCATTATAATGCATAAAAGGATATGTTAAATCTCTCTCTACTGCTCTGAGCTTCTCTCTACATTTCCATTCCACATACTGTTGCAGATCACTGGATCATGCCTGGTGTGAATTCAATAAAGCAGTGTGAGAAGTGAATTTCATACAGACACCTCCTTTCTCAGCATAGATAAAAATAATCATAACTGATTGATGTGGTCAGTGCAAGAGCTCAGCTTTTGGCTTTTCTTCATAAGCAGACATACAGTGGTAAAAATAGAGCTGGTAGAAGAATTTCAGTTTTATTTTCTGTTTTTCAAGTGTTGGTCCACTGAACAAATGAGCTGGGGAAACACCTCTTTCAGTGAGTTTTCACTCAAGCACAGACTTTTCTGGGGGATGTTTAGGATGCCAGCCTTGCTACACCTTTGCTTTAGGACTGTTTCATCACTTATATTGCTTCACAGAGGGACACCTGCATATAGGAAGTTCAGAACCATATCTCAGCTGATTTTGCAAAGGAAATTGAATTAAAATACAAAAATTTCCTGAGGTTTTCAGTCGGATTTTTGTTTGGTTTGGTTTTGTGGTTTGTTTGGGTTTTTTTCTCTGCTAAAATACTCTTGGCTTCCATTGTGAATCACAGCTTATTTCTAGAGAGAGCAGATTTTCCTGTAGAATGCAAAGTGTTGGCTACCCATGACCTGTGATCCTGACCTTGGCTGTTAAGCCCATGTTTACATTTGGAGGCAGGTTCTCAATTTGTAGCTCTCAGAGCTGATGCAAAAGAAGTGACTATCAAGACTTGTAGAAATAAATATCTCCATAGGCAGCATTGCCACGGGGGTTTCTGTAATCTCACGGCTGTAGCAGGTTTTGCATATCCACTGGTAGTACTCTCATGGGATTTGCATTCACCACAGCTCAGGATTTACATATTTGTGATGGCTGTATTGTGGGATTTGCATGAGATTCTCAAATCACAGCAACACAGAGATTTTACCAACACTGTGCAGCACTTAGACTCCTCATGTGAGTCACTGGCTTTCCAAACAGGAAAGTGTAACAGGAGCAGTGCCAGTCCATGCTCAACATCTCCCACATAAGCACCAGAAGGGTGAGGAATGAAATTCTGGCCCAAATGAAGCTCCTGGGAGCCTTGGCATTACCTTCAGGAAAGGCAGGATCACCACAGGTTCCCATTTAATGCTTACCCATCCTCAGTGAGCTCACTTGGGCTTCCTCCAGTTTCTCCTGAACTGCCACCTGACTGGGAGTCAAGGCATCCAGGAGAACAGATGGGAGAAATTCCTTATCCACAGGGACTGATACCTGTAACAGATGTGTTTGTCCAGGGATGGCAGTCCTTCAGGCTGAGTCACCCATCCCTGTGTGGGAGGCAGGCAGCTCCCTTCCTGAGGAGACATGTTTGGTTCTGCAGGGAGAAGTCACCTCGCTGCCATCTCATCTTTCCTGGCAATGTCTGATATGAAACGAGCTCACTTTGCGATGGGTGCCCGGTGCTGTTATCCCTGTTTTGCTGTTATCCCTGTTTTGCTGTTATAGTCTGGGGGGAAACATTTTGTCCCACCTCAGGGACACCAGGCAGAGGATACAACTGCACAGTGGTTTAGGACCCTAGAAATTAATGCAAAACTGCAGCCCGGTGCAGGTGCAGCACAGAATGTAACTTGTGCTGGACACTGCCCAAATTAATCACAGAGCACCTTGGCAGCTCCAGGCACAGCCCTCTCTCTGCTTGTGGCTTGCAGACAGCTCTGGAGGAGGAGCTGCATCTACAAATGGTCTGTTTTCTCTTTCTGTCTGCAGCATATATTGGAGGAGAATCTGCTAGTCCATTTAGGTTGGTACCTGCTGCATTCCTCCCCTTTGCTGGCTCGGGGAAGGAGTCAGAAGATGGGAAATTATTTTCCCCTTCCCCTGGTATCAAAGTGCTGGAGGCTGAGCTGCCTCAGCAGGACTTGTGCAATGCCCACCATTGATTGAGGAACCCAGTGATTCATTAAGAGACCTCTGTGATAAATGGCCATGAAGAACAAGTACCTGGTGATAAAACTGACTCTGATCAAAGGGTATTGCTGTGACATGTAAAACAGGTCTCTCTGTTCATTAAAGTAGATACTGATGGGTTATAATTTCTGGGATGATCCCAGAGCAACAGAAGAGAGCAGGAATAGGATCAGCCCATTTCACAGCATGTGAAACACAGGGGGAAGAAGGGAGCAGGAATTGTTAGCTAAAATACACGTTTTGGAGTTCTCAGGTACAAAAGAGGAGCAATTCCCCTTTCTCTGAGTAGCTACAGAGGGTGTGAAGGCCACGAAGGTGAGCAGCTGCCTCAGTGCAGAGAGATTCCAGCAGCTTCCATGAGCAGGAGCTGTTCTCCCCATATGAACCAATTCTTTGGCTTTAAGCATTTTGACCTTCCTAAAGGCTTTTTTTTTCCATTTCATAAATTAAAAAAGTCAAAATTATCACAGTTCTACGGGATCAATTTTATTCAGTTCTTTTGTCGTGTGAAAGAGAGGATTGGGAAGAACATGGCTGGGTGATCAGGGAAGCAGAGAAAACAAAAGAAGGAAGAAAGGGAGCTACTTTTAGTCCAAACCTGCAAACTCTGTGTGTTCAGAATGGTGGAGAGGTTGGGATGTTTTCCATGTCCTAAGGCAGTGAGGGCTCTATTGTGTGAGGCTGCTTCAGAAATTTCATCGAACATTGTTCTTTGCCAGTGAAGTACTTGTGTGAAAAGGTACTTGGGCTTGGAGACAAAGGAGACTGATGCAATTCTGTTGGTAAATCAAGTGTAGCAAAATTATGCACCTGTCTTCTTGCTAAAATTGAAAGGAAATTGAAGGACATCTACACAATAAATGATGAATGCCATTATAAATGTGAAGGTAAAATTTATCGCTGTTGAAATTACACAAAATAGAAGAGCTGCACAGATGATTTTCCCTTAAATGTCTACCACATGGAAAAGAATTTCAGTAAAAAGTTCCCTCCTTTCCTTTTGTTCTTCAGGGTAGGCTTGTCAAGCTTAAGTATGTTTATGATGATATCTTTTCAATCCATATTCCCGTGTCCTACAGGCTGGTCAAGATGAAGGCTGAGGCAAAGGACAAACGTGAGGCCAGGGAGGAGATGGAAAGAAAGAAGGCTGAGGAGAGAGAGATGAGGAAGGAGACACTGGCAGCTCTGTTCAAAGGGTGGACAGTGGATGGCAAGCACAGAATACCAATGGCACTGGTAACTAGGAAAGATCCTTGGTAACACACTGCTGTGGCTGTTCCAGACAGGAGGAAAAGGACATTTGTGGGTGGGTGATGGCTCTGCTGCCCTTAGGGTCAGGATACAGGTCGTTGTCTGCCTCAGGCTCACCAAGCCCTGATTCCCCACAAATCTTACCTATGTGTAAGACTCATGACTGGCCCATATGTCTGATTATTCCAGGTGATTTATTTTGGTAATCGCCCACTGCTGTCTGCATGACACAGGCCTTTGACTATTACCCTGATTTGTAGGTTCAGAGTGCCCTGAGGTCTTTTCCAGATGTCACTGACTCTATTCCCGAAAAACTGAGAAAAGGTAAGTTTTCGATGTGTCTTCCTTAGGTTTTATTGCTGCGATCTGAATTCTGGTCTGAGCTGGGGGCAAACAGCAAATGGATTTCATAACAGAGGGAGAATCTCTAAGGGTAGTTACATCAGGATATGAACCACAAATCTACAGACAGATTGGAGGGTCTGAACCACCCTGTGGCTCATTAACATGATCTTGAAAAGAGTGGAAAGAAATTTAAAAAATCTTTCAGGAGATAGAAAGACCAGATTCAGGCCCTTTCCACTTACATCCTGCATTAGCCAGACGTTGCCATGTGCTTATCACTATTTTTAAGATTCACTGAACCAACCTCCTCCTTCACCTGCCCTATCAGGCAGTGTTTGTCTCATGGGAGGTCTTGGAAATACTGGCATGCTGGGAGGTATGGAGCAAAGGTAGGATCAACAATATTAACAGAGTTGTTACCTTTTATGGTTTCAGGGGAAATGCTGAAGTTTACCCAATGCTCCACAAAATAGCCCATGTCATTGAGCCATTCCTTTAGCCAGTCCCAGACCATCCCAGTGACAGCCCAGGGCCTCTGGATGGGAACACTTGGCTCAGTAACATTTCCATAATTCCTGTCACTTTATATAACTCACACTTGACCTCCCTGAATGATGAAAATTGAATAGAGCTGGGAACACTGAAGTGGCACCATGAGCCTGCTGCCAGGCTTTCCTGAGCCTGTAATGATCATCAGTGAAAACAGATCTGCCTTCACTGGTTTGGGATGATAAACAGGGCACTCCAGAGTGCATTTCTGCTGCAGTCACCTCTGCCTGGAGCTCGCCCTTGGTCAGCCCTGTCCGTGTCACAGATCTGTTCCTCTGGTCTTGGCAGGATGTTGTGACTGCCAACACAGCCCCCGCTGTGCTCCTGCTGTGGGACAGTGCAAACAGACCCTGGGACATGAGACTGTGAAGGAAATGCCTCCCCAAATGTTTGCTTTGCAGATGCTGGGGGTGCTCTCTGTCCTATTTCACTAATAGTGTGGCTCCATTTCTTAATTCATTTCATCTAATAGCATCCAATGTACATTAACAGAACATTAAGCTCTGTTTACAGTTTAATAAAGATAATGTACAGTTTAGGAATGTCTTAACCAACAAGAGATAAATGCATTCTATGGTGAATTTTCTCATTACTCCTGATATATTGTAGAAGAAAGAACAGAAAAATGATGCCAACAGAAATAGCATGTCTGTGCTCAAAGACCTCATTCAGAAATCTGTGTAGATGTTTGATTTCTCTTCTCAGTTCCATTATAGGAGCTCAGAAGCTGACCAAAACATACTTCTGAATATCATCATCAGTAAAAATATTCCCACAGATATTCTTGAGAAAATTACTATGATTTTCAGATTCTACTCTTGCAAAGCACAACCCATGTCTCCAGTGTTCTAAGGCAGTTTTATCTGTTTGTTAAATCAAAATTCATTTCCTCCCTCACATAATTAGTTTTAAGTACCGTTAAAATCATTGCAATTTGCACCAACTTATGTCAAGAATAAATATGACTCTACAGTTCTGAATAGCTAAATGCAGATTCTCAGCAAGAGATACATGTAAGGAGCAGATTTGGTTGGTCTCTGTACAGTCAGATGCTTCAGCTACTGTGGGATAACCTCAAAAACATGTTTGAGAAGATGAGAAGAAGGTTAATGTAACAGCACAGTGTGCAAAAAAATGTGGACAATATGCAGAATCACAACTGTTGCTTTCTAAACCAATATCTCTTTATTTTTTTTACCAGCAATCCAGGACAGGAAGCTGGAAATCTTAAACACATTGGAAGAAACTTTAAAGCTAGATGAGTTCACAGAGGTGAGAAATGAAATAAGAGCATCTGGTTCAGCATATGATGTTTATCACAAAGTAGCAGCATTTCCCTGGGGACAGCCCAGAGGAGTAAGAAGGGCTCCCCTTCTCCAGCATCCCAGGGAACTGGTTGTATCAGGACATTTCACGTTCCATCTCCATATCCATCCTCTGCTGCCACACTTCCATTCTGGCCAGCAAAGGGGAAGTGTTTTGCTTTCCTCAGAGCTGCAGCCTGTGCTGCTCTCTGGGAAGTTGCTCTGGGAGCAGTGGTTTTTAGGACATCCCTCCCAGTCCCTCTCTGAAATGCCAAAGCCTTGAATCACTTGTGAATTCAGACTTTGCCTTGCCTGCTCAGGGGAGGTTTGGTGGCCCACTATAACCATTAGCCAATGGTAATCAGTAACATCCTCACAGTATGGTTGTTTCTGATTAGGTTCCATTAACCACAGAAGAACCAAACCATGATGAACTGGGATGAGAAGCTCTACCATTTTTGCCCTGAACCGTAACCAAACTTCAACAAGTGTCATAAATCTACATGAAGCATAACCAGGCAGTTTTAAACTCAAAAGCTGTCATTGAGAAATATCAGAACTGCAGTTTTAAGTCACCAAAATCATAAATGTAGTTGGAAGTTTCACCCTATTACTCTACTGTTCCTCAAGTTGAAAATAACCAAATCAGTTCAAACTGTATTTATTGAAAATTCTCCAGGCCAAGGCTTTGCCAGCCACTTCTACCTGCAGCAGAGCTGAATTTTATGGCTGAGTAATTGAACCTGTGAAAAGGGGTGTTTAGAATAGAAATAATGACAGACCCTCATTGCAGCAGTGCTAGTGGGTGCTGTTATAATAATTAAAACCAGAGTATAAAGCAGCTGTGCAGGGACTATTTCCAAGAAACCATGTGTGATTTTTGTGCCTTCTTCCCTCTCAGGAGACTCACATGTTCAATATTTTGCACGGAGATGCATTTTTATGATAACTTGTTGAAGGTTTTTTAAGCATGAAATGAGGAATTTTTGAATTTAACCTCAGAATTACTGCATCTAATTAAGAAAGAGATTGTGGATAATGAGAGCCCAGAGAATTGCTTTTGTCACTGCGATGAAGCATCAATCCATAACCCCTACGGTACATGTATATAATCTCTGAATGAATTCATGCTCCATTAGCATTAGAAAACTGTTTAAAATATGTTTTGTGTACTCTTTATTTTAACTCAATTAAAGATATGACAACGGAGATGAGAAGCACAAAAGACATGGATTGTCAAGCTGTCTGATTTACCAGCAATGTTCTCTCAGAATATATTCTCTGATGCTTCTTCCAGTCCGGTTTTAATTGAATCAAATGATGAGGCTTTCATCACTTCCCTGGGGAACTGTTCCATCATTAGGACAGGGCTGCTTCTAATCCCCAGCTACAATTTACCTTTGTTCCTCCCTTTGCATCATCCACCAAACCCAGAAAGAGAGATGATCTTTCTCCACACTGGTCTGGGCCTTTCCCCATGTGGAAAGCATTGCTTTTAATGGACCTTAAAATTAAATAGCCTCTTTTTTTTTTCTTTCTTGAATTCAGTGCAGCTTTAGGCTACTTCAAGGCCATTAGAAACTCAGTAGAGAGACCTCACACATTGTTTTTGTTGGGCTTGGGTTTTTTTTTCAGACATTCAAAACAGTGGTTGTTGTATTTTTACATCCTTCATGACAAGCTCGTGGGGTCTTTTATATTAAAAGCATTTAAATCCCAGAGACCAGCCCTTAATAGTTTATTTCACAGGCTTCGTACTCTATAACACACAAACAAACCCCCAGCAGTCTGGCACAAAGCTACTGACACCAAGGGAAAAACTCACACTGCCTTTGCAGGGTTAGAATCAGGCCTTAAAGGTGAGATTATTTTCCATGATTTTCTAGTGAGATCAGTAAGAACAAGAAGCAAAGATCCATTGTTATTGATGACAACGTGTTCACAAACTACAGCAAAGTCTCTGGATAGCAAGAAGGAATCGTGCCAGCTTTCTTCAGAGAGGTGTCAAAATCTCTCAGTTAATAATAAATAAATGTATGTTTATTATGTGTACAGTACTTTGCACATCAGCTAAGAAAAGCTTAAGACTATGATAGTGCCTGCTGCCCACATGGCACTTGTAAACAATGTCCTGTGATGCTGTTAGACAGCAGTGTTAGTGCAGGAGCCTTTGGATGTGTCATCAGCATGACATCCAAAATAACAAGCTGCTTGTCCAACCTGCCTCCTCCCATCAGCTGCCACCTTCAAGGCTCCTCTGTCACAGGGCTTTGGGGTGTAACAGCTCTGGAAAGCTGGTGGGTGCCCATGGCCCCACCTTCTCTCCAACCACCTACATCCTGTCTTTTTATGCTGCAAGCAGAAACCCCCCACATTGTGTAGGAGTTCTGCTTTCCCACCAGCCACCCCTCAGGCCATTGCTTTTTTTTCTGCTCTTCCTCTTTTCCACTTGTCCCATATATTTGGAAATTATGCAATATAGACATGAACAATTATAACATATATTAATATTTCAGTTTGTTAATGCCTGTGAGGCACTTCAACAAGTCCAAGATGATGTAGCACTTATGTTAGATACCCATACTCTAAAAATGGGCTGTGTTTTGGAAATTCCTCCTTTTAACTCTATGAGTTCCCTGTTAGTGTGGCTGGCTCCAGAAACCTGCTATAATAATTCAGCCCAGGCTTTGGGATTGTGGTTTGTTCTGATGGCCATTATTATTTATGTCATGCACACCACATTTTTAGAACCATATTGCTTTTGCTCATAAAAGCCACATGGCTATAAATCCAAAGTGTTAAAGTGTCTCCAAGGCTGGAACTTAAAATCAATCTCCAGTCAGTAGTATTCCCAGTGTCAGAGGACTTAGGTGACAGCAGGCTCATTTTCAAAAGGATTTTTCATGTTTTTATTGTATCCAGACTGGTTCTCTAAACACTGAAATTGTGGGCAATGCTCATTTTGTGGCATTTGAGAGTTGAGTGACTGTCAGTTCTGCAAAATCTAATGGCTCAAAATGCCTCCTTGGGAGCAAAGTCAAGAATACTAAATGCTGAAAAAAAACGTGGAGAACTTAAATCCTCCCTGAGAAAACCAAGCTTGAGCCATGGCATTCCACAGGAGGGATCTGATCCAGCATCTCTGAACGCTGAGCATAACAAGTGACCTCTGGGCCAGGAAAGGAGCTATTGAGGAGGCATTTGTGCAGTGTCCCAGGCTGGTTAGGAGAATGTTGTTTCTTCTGAAAGGAAGAACAAAGTAGGCACCAAGTCTGTGTTATGTTGGCAGATTAAACTACAAGTTCTTAAATATTTAATTGCATGCAATAGGTTTTTAGGAGTTCAAATAAAGGTGAAAATACTTGAAGAAAAGCTAACTGTGTACACTGCTGCTTTCTCTCCACAGTTTGTCCTTTCCTACACCGAGCATGTTTCAAGTGACACATTCCAAGAAATCATGAAATATCTCCATCAATGTGGTGAGGACTTCCAGGAAGCAACAGAACGAGCTCTGTGGAGGCAAAATTTTACTGATCTCTTCCAAGATTGTGATTATGGAAAGGTAGGTAGAGCAGCTCTCAATTTCAATGTGGGGGTGCTTCCAGTCTGGTATTTCTCTGGGTCACTGCTTGCTTTTTCCTCTTCCCAACTCTAGATACTCTTTTTGTGCTTATTCAGCAGTATTTTGGAGGACAATAGCTGCAGCATTGTCTTCAAATTCATACTTTAGAGACAGAAACATCCAACTGCCTATAAGCTGATGGCTAATTAGAAAATGAATGACCTAATGGGATTACCTGCTCCCACAGCACAGTTCAGAACTGGGTCTAATTTATCTATTCAGCCATGTTTCAGCAAAGATAACCTGATGTAGATTGACCTTAACAAATGTGCACGTTACTTCAATTATAACATATATTGCATTCATTATGTTGCCTAACTTTATAGATCTTTAGGGCTTCTATCAATAAATCTCATAGTTTAAATTTAAAGTGCAAAATAATCCGCCTTTACAATCTCTCTGAGAACAGTGCTGTGAACTTCAGCCACAGTTTATGGACAGGAAATTAAAATACAGTAAGTCAGTAACAGAGCTGGAAATGGAACTCAAAAGCCATAATTTGGTTTTCAGCAGCTCTAATCTCTGTCATCCTCTGAGTACACCTGCATCCCTATTAAAAAAAAACAAACAAAAAAGCTAGACTTGTTAGAAAACCAGTAAATTGTAGAAGCTGAAGAATCAATGGCATAAACTATTGCTAAAAACTTGGGCTTCATCCAAAAAGTGTGGTACTTGTTATGAGTAGCCTCAGCTTGCCAGTTGCTGGCTACTACAGAGCAAGCAGATGCCATAATCTTACAGTTTCCTCCCCTACAGAAATTATATATTCCACCCAGCACTCCTCTAGTGATGCTTGCAGAGAGCTACCCAGAGTGAACTGTGCTCTACAGTGTCATGCTAATAATGTCATTACTGCCAAGAGAAAGGAATTACAGAGCTCGTTTCAACACCAATGGAGTGTTTTAGAGAATAGCAGGCAAGCTGCTGTTTCAGGCATGAGGAAAGAAATGTGTCTGCTTCCCAGCTAGAAGACATTTCATTTTCCTACGGCTCTGTCAGAATGGCTGTGATGAATCCTCCTGGCTACAGTGATACATAAAGCCCAGTCCTATCCTTGCCATGCATTTTGAAAAGACCCCTTCTTTCCTTTCATCTTTTAATGTGACTTTCTTCCTATTATTTCTGTGGCAGTAATCACCATCTCCATGCTACTAATCCCAGTGGAATCTCAGAGGCAAAGAGCCAAAAATACTAACACAACATGAGAGAGCAGCTATCAGCACCAACACCATCTGTGCCCCAAAAAAACTGGTCAGAGCACAGAGTTGTTCTTTCCAGACTCCAAGGTAGCCTTGCTCTGCAAATTGAGTTCACTGAAGTGTCCTGTAGGCCACACAGTTCTTTTTAAACCTGGCCTGGTTTCTTTTGTATGGCTCTACTGTCCCATAGGGGAGATAAAAATGCAAAGTAACCCAAGGACTTCTACCACTTGAATGGGATCCATTACCTGTAGAGCCCATTCTGCAAAGCACAGCAAAGCAGTTGTTTCAGTTCCTAATTTCCATTTGTTTGGTAGCAGGCAGTTATTCCAGTCTGCACGGGGAGTGTGGCTGGCTGCCTCAATGAGCTGCAATTAAGGCCAGGGAGCTGAGAAAGCAGCGTTTAAATTACAGTCAAATTAGAAGGTACCCACATGATCATTATTATGATTTCAAACGAATGCATCCAGAAGGATGGCAGCTCAACAAGGACAGCCTGGACTATACACTGAGGCAGAAACTTCCCCAGACAATCCCACAACACAGTTGGATCACTGCTGTAATATTCCAAAAGGCAATGGCTCTGTGAATTTTAAGCTTATTGTATCTGTGCTCACTTGTATCAGGTATAGTTTCTTTTATGTATTATAACAGAATCTACATGAATTTTCAGGGATGTTTTAAGCCTGAGACCTTTAAATGAAACTGAATTTGGTCAGAGATTAGTTTTCAAGCTAATGACGTCTGAGACACTCCTGATTACCTTTCTTTCAGAACAGCAACAACAAAGTCTGCTTTCTCATGACCTTTTCTGAGTGTCTGCTCTTCCCATCTTGCTCACGAACAAGCACACTGTGGGGATCAGGATACACACATCACATTTCCAGAAAAACAATCGAGTGGTTAAACACTGACCTATCCCTGATTAAATGGCAAGTCTGGTTTAGTCTGTGTTGCTACAGGAATTACTCATAGGTCACAGAACATTGCTGAAAACAACTGAGAATCATCACCTGCCAATATCTGGGTGACAAGAAAATGAGGCCAACATGTTTCAACTCCCTGGGCACTAAAGCTGCCCCAAGTTTTGGGCGGCTGTACAAACACAGATGTTCCTCTGGTGCTGAGAGGGGAGGCTGGACCTGCCCTGCTCACGAGGTGCAGTACAAAGGGTGGACAGGCAGGAATCTTCAATCAGCCTCCCCAGTCACACAAGAATTGCAAAGAAAAGTCCCCTTTGCTAGTAAATACAGGAACTCAGAAAGACAGCACAGCTGGGGAGAGGAGCTTTCCTGTTGAAATGCTTCTCTCTTCTCTAGATGTACTGTGGCATCTTCCTCCCAGGGTGAGTTGTAAGGAAAAGTGTCCTGAAATAACAGGGACCTCTGGTAGAGTGGCAAATCTGTATAAATTGTGAATGCTAAAACAAGGAAATATGACCTAATTCATATTTGGTAATTTCAGCTGTTTTATCTATTTTATATATCTTTTAAACAATATATTAAAATAAAGTTATTTGATCCAAATCACAAAAAAATCTCTTAAAAAATCTGAGTTATCTAAATCCTCCAAGTGTATTATTTTAGTATAACAAAAAAGTGCATCTGAATCCCAAGACAACATCCTTATTTTCATCTTAATAGTACTTCATAATTTTCTTAATATTTGTTATATTCTTAATAAGAATAATACTTCATTTATTGATTCCCCTTTTTCATAAAATAAAGTTTTGCATTAGTGCTGCCAACTTCAAGGCAACCAGCAGATGATTGTGACAAGTAACAGCTGAGAAAACTTGAATGGAAAATTAAGTGTGTGTAATGGAAATACTGAATGGAGAATCCAAATATTCCACAGTGATCTGGTAACGTCTTCAAAAACATGTGCTGTGTTTGTGTGGCTACTAAATGGATCAGAACCAGATCTGATATATTCAATTGAAAGACAAATAGCATGAAGAAATGTTTGCAGGGGGGCATGCAAGGTATTTGTATGTTAATGTCAGGAAGATGAAGATACTGGGAATCAGGGCCTACATCTTGTAAGTTTAGGGACAGAATTCTGTGATGACATTTGTTGTTCCAAACACACCGATGGCTGAAATTCAACCCTAATTTCCAGCATTTTTTTACCAGCAGGAATGAAATTAGCAGAGTCTCAAACACTAAAACTGGACTGAATGGCTTCTTACATTTCAGTTCAGGTCCTTTCTTCAGAATTGGCAATAAACTTTCAGTTCCCTGTAGAGGAAGGTCCTGCAGTACCAGCAAACGTGATGTAATTGTTTAGTTCCAGTATTAACTTCACCAGTAGGTGATGTGTATCTCTCGGTTGTTTCCAAACCTTCTGTTTCTAACTTTTGGTGCCATTAATTACAGATTTAGGTTATAAACAATGCAGTCATCTTGAGCTCATTTCCAGAAAAGATCAGCAAAGTTCTTCCTTTATTTCTCCAGCCTAAGGGCAGGTAAAGTTCACAAGGAATTAAAAGCCTGGTGCATTTTCCATTTTGCAGTTTTTAATCTAAGAACAAAACGTGAAAAGGAAATCAATAATTCAGATGGAAAGCTACTCGCTACAAATAATGAACTTAAGTAAATCTGTTCCCTAATTAACTACTTTATTTCACTGATGGGAGGGAGATTACAAAGGTGGCAGGACTTAAACAATGACAACAGGAATTCACCATAAAATGGAAAACTTGCAATCGCTTAGATTTGCTTTACTTTTTTAAACCCACAATTTCCTGATTGGAAATGACCCGTTTCATTGCCTTTTCCTGGGTTTATCGTCTGTGTACACTCACTCTGAGCAACAAGGACTTAATAAACTCTGCACGTTCCTCTGCACTGGAACTGCTGATGCCTCTCTCACCTCTGTGGTCAAATGTCTATGAATTTTTAAAGGAAATTAGGGAGGTTGTCATAATAGCTCGGATTTTTGGACTAATTATGTTCCCAGGCAGCTGCCAATACATCAATCTTCAAAGGAGATGATGGGGCATAAAAGCAAACTACAGTGTGCAGTCACTAAGGTGATACAGCCCATAATAGGTGAAAATTCTTCCATGGTGCTGTCAGGCAATCAATATCTGTCCTGAGAGTATGAAATGTTGAAGCTTTGATCTTTACATGAAGAACCCCTTTGGCAGAACAGCTACAATTATCTAACTGTAATTTGTCAAGGAAGTGCCTGCAAAGTAATATGTGTGGGGAGGGAGTTCCAGCTGAGCCCAGAGAAGAAGTTTTTGCCTCTATGAAATAAATTCGCTTCTTTGAAATCTGTAGTCGTGTTCTGGTAATGGGTAATTTTCAGTCACAGGTAATTCTTAGCTAATGGTGCCTTTGTAGTGCTGCAAATGTTGATGTAAGACCCAAGAACCACAGGAAAAACCCAATAATTATCATCTTTTTGTCTAGGTTGGTGTCTTGGATAGACAAAAAATACTGACCCTGCTGAGGGAGTTCTATGACAGAAGCCCCGTGGCTGACAAGAGGGAATTGTGGAACCCCAGACAATGTGAGTACCTGGGAAGTTTCGGTTGTGGTTAAAACACTGGGAGGTCACAGAGGGCTGGATAGTTCATATATGTTTTATAAGTGTTACTGGAAGTGAACAGGGCCCAAAAAAGGACCCAAATGAATGCTGTGACCAGCCATAATTTGCAAACATGTTTTGCAAACTGTGATGCAACGTTCGGAAATGCTTCAGCATCCAAGAGTTTTCCTTCCTACAAAAGTCAGAAGTACTTCAGGATTAAAGAGAGACTTTTCCTGAAACAAATGTTCTCTCTTACTGGGCAATGTTAGAAGTTAATTTTGTGTTTGCACTAAAGTTTCTCCAGGCACATGGAAAGATAAAGAAAAAACACGGGGGATCATCTGCATGAAAGTAAAATATTTTAAAGATATTGGACATTAATTAATTGCTAAGATCAAGTGCAGGGCAAGTTACAGGTCTCCTTCTTAATAGGGAGAATTATGAAACATTTATTTCAAAAGAAATGTGGTGCAATAAACAGTAAGAAATGCAGATCTCTGCAGGCAAAGACATTATTCTGAAGTTTTGTGTTTCAGAGACGTGTGTTTGCAGAAGGTACCTTCTGATAGTTTGTATTTGCTTGGCAGTATCTTTTTTGTTTCAATTTTCTTGTGCAATACTAGAGAACATAATACCAATGCAAACTATCAACTTACCCATATTTTTTTCTATTCTAGGGCCAGTAATTAAGTTGCAAGAGATTGATCTTGTGGATTTATGGGGAGGCCTCGATGACCAAGCAGCAGAGCCGAGTGATGCTGAAGTGAGCAAGGAAGGTGAGGATGCTGTGTCAGAGGTGAAAGGCACTGGATTTGAGGCTGGTGATTTGGATGGAGATACCACACACAGTGAGGAACCCAGCTCCCAGGAAGACATCAAAACTGAGAAGGAAGCTGAGCCTGGAAGTGCAGAGAGACAGGATGAAGCTTTCCCAGGATCAGCCTCTGATGGATACAATCTCAGTAGGGATGGAGAACCTGGACCTGAAAAACAGGTGGAGGAAGAGGAATCCAGCCTGGGTAGAGAGCCTGAGATGGAAGTAAAAAGTGAAGGAGACACAGATGTGGCAGACATGGATGTCACTGGCTCAGAACAGGGTGCTCCAGCTGCAGAGGCTGTGGAAGAAACCCCTGCAGGAAAAGGAAGTTTTTCAATGCAGCACAGCAGCCAGTTTGACCAACAGACAAGCTCCGAGACAAGGCTGCAGGATGACAACCTTCTGCATGAGCAGGGTAAAGATATTCTCCTTTATTCTGGCAGACCTTAATCTTTTTCAATGTATACATTTGGACTAGTTTAACTATAGGCTATTTGAAATCCATTTCAAAACCATGTGAGTGCTTTCTGAGTAGAGAAGACCATAAGCTTTGATATCTTCTCAGTGTGGTGTTTTCTGCCAAGGTTTCAGAGCATGTTCCTCTCACAGGATGGCAGGTGAGTCACTTTGCTGGTGATCTGTATTCAAGGCACTGAGCAGACACTTTAATTCAAGTAGGGACTTTGTGAAGCAGCAGCATTTTTATAATAAGGAGAAACTTTATGTTCTGTTTCACTCTGTAATATTACTGTAGCAAGACAGGAACCCGAGCATGTTAAATCTAGAAATGACTTTAATAATTTTTAGCCTGTTATTGCCCATAGGGAGATATGATATGAGATCATATAGCAGAAACCTTTTATTTTAATCTCTCACTGTGTTTCCAAAGGATGATCATACTTCATTGTGTACAAAGGCCCTTGTTCCAGGAAGGCTGTGATCAGACAGCTGTGTGTTTCAAAGAGGTACTTTCTTAAACATCCGAGAAGGACCAACCTCCTTGCCAGTGCTCTGTGAACACTCTCTTATGTCTCACAGTTTAGAAAACTGCAAGAACTGGGTCTACATTGCCCAAGCAATCTAGTGACAGACTTATTATGTAAAGGGTTGTAAATCTGATAGTACAGCCCACTGGTACCTAGAGCTTTCTGAGTTAACTTCCAGTGTCATGCAGGATGTGCATCCTGCATTGTTTGGGACATGCAGGACCTCAGATGGTCTTGGTCTCAGACAGCCCCTTGCTGAGTAACAGGAATTTCAGCTCCCCTGTGTTCAGAGGTTGACCTGGCTGTACATTGGCATCCATGCCAGACTGGCTCTGAAGAGCTACTATTAGAACAGTATAAGCAGATTAAGGCCTTTACTCAGCATGGAGTCAGCCTGGATTCAGCTGTAATTTCCCTGGATGGGAAGTGCAGGATTGAGGAGTGAGTTGATAGCTGCCACGTGCCTGGCTTTAGGGCAGCGTTTGGCTTTCTGTGACACACTGTGCTTTCTGCCTTTCAGACTCAGGTCCCAGCATGGCACAGATTCAGAACCATCGGGCTCCTTGTACTCAGAGTTCCTTCGGTGCAAGCTGCCTCACCCAGCCACAGTTTGTACAGCTCATGGAGACGTTTGTTGGCCAAGATAGTTCTCTGCCTACTGTGAAGAGGCTTATTGCATTTATCAAAGAAGAGTACAAGCAGACAGAGGAGGAAAAAATGGAACAACTAGAAAAAGTAAATATTGATAAGTTTTGCTGATCCCGTGTCCAAACAAAAAACAAGCAAATGCCTACAGACACTTACAAAGTCAACTGTTAATCTCACACTGGCAGAGTTCTCTGCTTGCAGTCTTGCATCCCCTATTTCTTCAGGAAACCTTTGACCCCTTTGTTTTCATACAGATGCTCCCTCCCTAGCCCTCAGCTCTGGAAGTGATGACAGACTCATCCTGTAAGAGGCTGTCTGTCTGTCCTAGAGCCGGACTCAGTGAGACAACAGTTGATAGTTAATTGTGAAAGAGCCCAAAACATTCCATTCTGCTTATTCACCTTTATAATAGCCAAGAACCTGATCTCTGACCTGCTGCACTGGCATGTACACAGGAGGTTGTGGATGTTTGGGGAGGATTTTAAAACAAGTGTGTTTGGGTCTGCTATGTGCATGGCTGGATGTTAGTGTGCACATGCTTCTCTGTGCTTAAGTTACAAGGTGCTCTTGCCATGTGTTGAAAAAAAAATTCCCCTTCCTCCTGCACAGCATCAGGGTGCCCCATATCACTTCAGGTCTGCTGTGTGTCTCTCTGTGGGTCTTTCTAGCTGTGTTTTCCTCAGACCTCTTTCTGGTTTCCCTCTGTGCTGCTGACCTAATTTGAATGAGATATTGGATCTGACGGCTCTCCAGTCCTCACTGAACACAGCACACACTGCCAGTATTTTGGCCTTTGAGAGGATTCCACTCCATCCAGTTATCACTCTGTGCTGGGTTTAGAGGACAAATGGTACATGCATTTGCTTGTAGCCCACACACTTCAGGGCAGCACCAACAAAATAACAATGTACAGAAATACAAACTGTCACATCTCTGGGTGTCACTGACAAGGCTGTGGTTAGTTCTTGCTAGGGAGACATTTGTATTCTGGGAAACTTGCATTTACCTCAGTTGACCTTACCTTAAATCCAGCACAGGCTTCATTTGTTCCCTGTGAAATAACTCTCTGCAGTGCTGGTCCAGCCTGGTAAACTGAACTGTCACCTGTGTTTAGTGTTTCTAAGTATCTCCCAGGTTTAAAGATTCATCTGCAGGTCTGAGCTGTGTATGTACAGATTTGGCCCATAGGAATGATGTGAGTGGCACAGCACTGCAGTGCCCACACTGTGTAGACACCCAGCATCAGTGTCCAGGAGTCACCCAGGAGTTACCCAAGACCAGCTGTTCCTCTGTTGCAGGTTCACCACATGGCTCGGGCGGCCCAACGGAAACTGCTTTTGGAGGCACTTTTTGAAAAGTGGGACAGCAATGGACATGGGTTCCTGGACCTGGAAGAGGTGGATGCTGTTCTGAGCAAATTCATGGGAGGCACGAAAAAAGAGGCGTTGATGAAGGGTAAGGAGACAGCTCTGCTCTGGGAGAACAACCCAGTAGACCTTCAACCATTCAATGACGGTGCTAGTGAGGTTGCTGGCAAGCACCACTTTGGTTTTGCAAGCAGTCATAAGCATACATGGTATGAGCTGTAAAATGAAAAGGAACAGTTACCCAGACCTGCTTGTTAATGCACAGCTCCATCTCCTCCTTCTGTGCAAGACTCCCAGGCAGAGAAGTAGCTCAGTGCTTTCATGACACTGGGATGTGTTGAACACGTATTTCAGCTGTAACATGCAATGTATACATGTGATATGGCAGTGAAAAAACACATGCAAAGCCTGAGGACATGTTTGCACTTTTAGTCTAGTCCATCTGTGTTATCCAGCTATTTTTAATAGATACATTTTACTGTGCTTGCTGCAGGAATGTACCTCATAGGAGAGAACAGCTTTCCTCATGGGTCTCAAACAGCTCATAGTAATCCACACTGTCACACAGCTCTCATGAATCAGCAACTTAGTCTCACTTCTCTGTTGGTTCATTTCTCTGAATAAACTTCGCAAATTTGGTCCTTGACAAAATAGACTTGGGTCAGACAGAAGCACTGCAGGTTCACCTGAACCTGTCTGGCAGCCTCATGCATATTAACAAGTGGGTATAAGGTGTTCTGAAATACTGTGTTAGCAATTAAGAACATGTCTGCATGTGTGCTTGGGTGGAGAGGACTGTTTTTTTCATCTCCATGCTCATCTTCATGCTGCTTGTTCTGCTGCAGATCACTAAAAATGGCTTGTTTTGGCAAGCACCAAAACCTGTTTATCGTTTAGCTCACTGGAGGCAGCTGGTGGGGTGGGGAGCACACCGACCTGTCATGTTTGATGACTGTCTGTCCAGCCAGGAAAAACTGGCACTTTACTGCTCTCTTGTATTCAAAGCATGCCAGAACAGACTATGAAAATATGGAAGGACATAGTCCCTTCCATGAAGGGCTCATAAATTAAAGGACAAATAAATAGAAAGAGAGCATAGCAAAATCAATACCACCAACATAAAACTATTTCTAGCAGCTTCAACCTAATCTCTCAGAGACATGGAACAAGCAGGTCTGGGGGGAGGGTTCACAGACGTTGCATTGGTCCTGAACGGAAATAGAGTGAAGAGTGAGTAGAATTATTTCATTTTCCTTGTAAATGAAAAGTGTAACATTAGATATAATGGGGAAAATTATGCATTATGCTGTGGCTCAGTAGTGAAGGAAGTGATCATACTGCATTCAACTTCATGCATATTTCTTTCTTCATCTTTTCTGTAAAGAGAGGAGAAAGAGGAGGTGAATATCCAAATATTTTTATACCATAAAAAAATTCTCCATCCTAGTTCTGTCAGAAAATCAGAAATTAAATTAAGAATACTGAATGTTCTTTAGATGATGAGCTGGATAAGACAGCATTAACAGGCAGCTCCACCATGACGGCCAGTTAGTACTTGCTACTTCTACAGCTGAAATCGGTGATAATAATGATAGAATGGTTTGGGTTGGAAAGGACCTTCAAAGGTCATCTAGTCCAGCCCCCTGCCATGACCAGGGACATCTTCGGGTCCAACAGGATTTGAAATCAGGATGCAAAAAATATGATGGAAGCGTTAGTCACAGAGCTCCCGTGAATCCCGAAGCCAGGCAGGCGCCTGCACCTTCCTCAGGCTGTGCAAGAGCACCCCCGTGAGCCCAGAGCCGGGGCTGGGGAGAGCCTGCGCAGGGCTGGGACAGCTCGGACAGACCGGCCGCTGATTTAACCAACACCTGGGTAGAAACCAGTGCTGTGCAGGGTTCCTTCTCACTAGCAGGGAAAGCAGGCGTCCAGAGGAAAGGAGGAATCCAGTGTGGAAGCTGGAGATTACCTGTCACTGTGACAACTTCCATTTAGGAGATAGCTGAAAGAAATCCAGAACAATAGACTAGAACACCCCATCCAAAGACAGTTTAGGGCTTGCTTAATATTCTGCAAAACTGATTAATCAACTAGATTGTCTGTCTTATTTTCTGTTGTTTTTTTTTTTTTTCTACTAGCAAAGGCACACCTTTGCTCCCGATACCCCCAGCTCAGCAGAGTGGAGATGGTATCCCCAAAGGTATTCCAGACCTTCCTTGAGTTAATTGCTTCTGAGTTAACTGGCAATGAGGATGAATCTATTGATAACTTGGTGAGATTTCTGACCACAAGTGTGGAGCAAAGTCATAGGGAGTCCTTGCAAAGCTTAACCAGGAGGAAATGGCTGCAGGATATCCAGCAAGCGGCTGAGACCGGCGGAGCAAGGATGGAATCGGTGTACAAAGCAGTGTTTAAGGCCATCTCCCAGGTGGGCATCCCAGGGAGCACAAGAGGTGCTTCTGTTCGGTCAGGACACTGATTCCAAACCCTGGAACTGAGTGGAACTCACAGGTAGCCTGGGAAGCTGCTCTGAGGCTGTTTCCTTGTGCTTTCCTGTACTTAGCTGATGTTCAGGAGAGCCTGTGGTTATGCGCAGAAAGGGTCACTGATAGATCAGCAATGCAAGGATTCTTGTCCTTGCTATGCCAATACAGAAGGAATCTCATGAAAACTTATATCTCAATTTGGAAGAACTGACTCAGATCAGATCTGGAAATCCATAGTTATAGTTTTGGAGCTTCTGAAATGAAACACACCAGAGTCAGTTTGGGACAAAGATGGTTAATTTGTAGTGGAAATATTTTCATTTTTAACTTACACCTGCAACTTCAGCTGTTTGTCCTCACTATTAAAGCCTCCCTCAAAGCCAAACTTCTCTCTGAAGTGTTCTTCTAGTATTGTCCAGGTTTGTAAATGTGGCAACTCTGGCACTTGTTTGTGTTTTTTTTTCCCCAAAGAAATCTCCTATTAGGGAAGAAATCCACGGGACTTTTGCTTAGGGATTATAGTAAGGGATTATTTTTATATTATTTACTTCTCCCCATTAAGAGCAGGAAACAAGAAATCCCTTTTCCTTGCCAATCAAAATACCGAGTGTTTTTGCTTGTCACGGAGTGCTCTGGGCAGACACGGCCACGCCACGCTGGGGGTGTGTGACACGCAGACTCAGTGACCCAGAGCAGCATCTCAGCACAAAAGAGACAAGTGCTAAGGACATGAAATAAGTGCAGTGCTCAGTGGCTAATGCCCATAATGTAATGGGAAACATTTGGTTGCTAGGACGCAGAAGCCCATGGGGGTAACAAGAAGATCAGTGCCTACATTGCCCTTTTGGAAGAGAACCAGCTCTCAGCAGAGCAGGGCCAGGTTCTCCTGCGCTATGTGGCCTGTACTGCGGACGACGCGCCGCATGTCCTGAACCAGACACTTCACAGACACATGAAAGGAATAAGGTAAGGAAAGCTGCAAAAAACTGTTCCTTTTTCTCAAAACTATTTGGAATGTAGGGGTACTGGGCAGTGTTTGGGATGCACTGGAAACTGAGGGTCATGGAGTACCCCAGAGAGGAAATCTCCTGAGAGACTGTTGTGGAAGGATCCAATATCCTATAAACGTCCTATACTCTGCACAGTCTTCTTAGAACTGCTCTGTTTGGGATTTTACTCCTTTCCTTGGGGATATTAGCTCACAGTCTAATGAATCTCATCCTTTAGCAAATGTCTGTGGCATTGGGCCTACATTTCCTTCTTTAAAAATTAATTCCCATACACAATTTTATATCCACAGGATATTTTTTTAGAACAATGCCTTTCCTTCCCTAGTGTTTATGCTATAAACAGCTTTCATGCCTCTTCACTTGTCATTTCCAAAAGCCAGACATACTTGTCTCTTTAAATATTGCTGCTTCTAACCTATTAAATGTAACTGCTTCTTGCTTCTGTAATCCTTTTCATTCCATTCATTAGCTGATGTTTTAAAATGTCCTAAGGATGAAGAGTGACTTATTTATTACCACTATCTTTCGGATACAAGTGGTAAATGTGGTATTGCTGGGTGTGGTCAAAGTGCAGAGCTCACACCTTCCTCCTCTGATGCCAAAAAGCAGGGAGAGATCAAAGCTCTGCAGTATTTACTGTTTCACTAAAGGCTTTCTGCTCCTCCCAACAAACCTCCTCATAAATTTATTTTTCAGCTTTGCAGCTGTTGATGAAGGAAAGCCAATCCATGTTCCAAGAGTTCAGCTCCACGGAAATATCCATTTCTGGAACTCTGAGCGCCCAGTGGAGGAGATGAAAGGTTCCCTCCTGGTGCTGCCCTTGTATGATGCTCGCTGGAGAGTCTTTGGCATTCTAGGACTTGACACTCTTCAAGACCAGTGTGACAAAACCATCTTTCTGACCCATGAGATCATTTTCTACCAGGTGGGCACCATCAGAAAGCAGTTTCTTAGTCCAATCTGCAAAAAACTTGTGATTTTTATATGTTTGTTCTGAGTAAACGTAAGATGTACAACTAAGAAAAGATCTATTGGTCCCTTTCTGCAGTATAGGGGGAAAGTGGTGTGAGCAGGACACCTTAATAGTGTCTTACCTGAAACTGAGGTATCACTTCATCAGGAATTTATTTAATCTTCTCCCAACCAGTAAATTAATTGTCCTTTTGTGCAAAGCCCAAAGATAGCAGCTTTTATTTCTTGAAGCTCTCGACCTCATTTTTGTGTTCATTTCCATAAAGTGGCATGAAACCTTACTTTTTACGTGGTGGAATAACAGTAAGCAACAGCAGCCCGGATTTCTTTGGGATGCTCTTTGGAATCAACCTCAGTGTGGGTGCCTCATCTGGACAGCAGGGAGCGCAGCAAGCCAGCCTTACCAGTCCATTTGGCTATTTCCACTAAAAACCGGCTAATCTAGTTTAGGAGTTACCAGTCACTTGGCTGTGACCTGGTACTGGGGAACTTTAGAGCATTATTTGATAAGGGACATTTCACAGTCACTTTTCAGCTCTACAACTTCAGATTAAAGTAACTTCTTACAACCATTTTGCTTCATGAACACTTCCCCAGCTTTTATCCCCCAAATCTTGTAGAATTGTCTGGCTCATATGGAGGATTCTGCTTTCACAGGGAGTTTCCCATGCATTCAGCAAAGCCTACCACCATATCTGCACACGGGAAAATGTCCTACAAATGGCTGTTTATGCTCTGGGCTGGTTGTACCCCAGGACACCCAGCATCCACGCCGTCACGATGTACCTGGTGGAGCCTGCCAAAGACAAGGTACTGCAGGAAAAAGGTCTGTAATTGTCAGGGGCTGAAAGGCTGCTTAAGGAAGATGTGCCAGCTCTAGTGCCTGTGTTTTCCCAATGGTTTTATTGTTAAAACTGAAGCCTGCCCAAGATTCTTGTGCCTGCCCATGCAACAAAAGGGCTACAAAGGTAGAGAAGGAAGTTTCCCTCTATAAAGGAGATCCTTCTTCATTCTTTCCATCTTCCCATGTAAAACAATTCAAGAGCAGTGCTAGTATAGACTCTTCTCCATGGGAAAAGGGAATATTCTCCTACCTCAGTGCTCACTGCTGCATAGCAACCAATAGAGCAAAACCCCACACCCATCCATCCATAGTTTTGCTGTCTGGAACCTCCACAAAGGGAGATGCTCTTCTGTGGAGATTCTCTGCATGTCAAAGTTATGGTACTTTATGGGGAAAAAAGAACGTTTCAGCTAATGTATTAGCTCTTTGTTCTGAACTAATGTCAGCAGCCAAGATGTAAATACAGCTCAGGAAGTGGCTGATTCCCAATTAGGCAGCTTGTAAAGGCAGCCTCCACTCCGTGCAGGTCAGATTCCAGTTGTTCAGCAGGCACTCAGGCCCTGGGAAGCTTGTCACTTCATGTACCAGCGAGTTAAGAAGAAGAAAAGTGTATGCAATATTTAGGACCGATCCCATGTCATCCCAAAGTCTGTATGACATCTGCTGTAGCCATAATTCAGCTGCTTCCTCTGATAAGCATGGTTTATGTTGGCAGTGTTCTGTTGTCATTCCAGGCTCGGCACTGTTCCCTTGTTAGCTTCCTGATAGCCAGGTCACTCACTCCCCTCTGTGCTTTTCACGTGCCAAGGCACACTGACACAAACTTGACATGAGAAAGGATGGGAAAAAGAATGGAAGCCTCTAGGTCTGTGGGTGTTCCTCAGTGTGGAGCCTGGGGATGGATTAAATAGTCTGGCTGAGGGAGGTTCAGGGCACATTCTTCATGTATCTTGAGTGATACAGTGTGGGAATAAAACCAAGCATTGTTGGGAGATGTCTTTAAACCACCCCTTGAATGTACATAGGAGTTTCCTATAAGAAATAAGCCATTTCCTCTCCCTCCAAACTTCAAAATATCTGTTCCTTTCTTGGATGCAGCTAAACCTCTCTTTTCTCTCTGGCAGGCTCTGTGCAAGATGATCACTACAGATAACACAGGACAAAAAGAAATCCATAGCTCTCCTGCTCTTCTCCTCAGAGAAGAAAACCTGCTAAGGTAGGCTCCAGTGGCCAGAGTAGGAATAGTCCCCTCTGCTTTTAGACTGAGCCTACATCAGGCATGATCCATGTTGCACAAAGCCCCTGGTAGTGCAACCCTGTGACAGTGTCTGGCTGTAGCTCTGTCACTATCAAGGCTCCTGGTGCTTACGCACGTGACACTGAACTGTGAGGGGGTGAGGGGTATTTTCTCTTTGAGTTTAGGCTTCCAAAAACAACTTCTGATTTAATACTTAGTAGCTGAGCTGCCAAGGTTTGCAGGATTAAAGCCTACACTGAACCATTTTGCTCCTTAGATTAATCTGTCCCCTTTCCTGGCCACATTAGTCTCATTTCCTTCAGCTGGCTGTTTCTTTCCACTGTCAAGATCCTCACAGACTTGTCTTTCAAGCATATCATCCCTGTGGTCAAAGTTGCTTGAACAGCCATTTGCTGTTCCAGCAGCTGTTTTTACTTTTTATAAAACTCTATAGATTTATATTGTCACTGCATTTATAAACAGAAAACTGTTTTCAAAGCAAGGTTTGTTAAATATTTAGGATTTTCAGCAGTCACCTTGGCTAAGCAATATGTGTTCCCAGTGCTATTTTCTCCTTTGGCTGGAATGATACTTGGAGCTGTGCATATTTCAGCTCAAGGAAATAACCTATGATTTAGTAATGTAATACCCTTAACAGTGAGAGATGAATGGCATCTTATTAAAATATGCTAAGTAAATTACCAAAAGAAACCAGAATGATAAAATCTAGTATGTTTTATTTCAGGGATTACCTGTTTAGGTGCACAGACAGTTTAGAGGCCGCTCTCACTGCTGTCCGTGGAGAACAGCACATTGCAGTACCTCTCCACGACCTATCAAGACAAGCTCTTGGCATATTTGATATCAGCATTGGACACCATAAGAAATTACCACCTCAGGAACAGAAAGACCTGCAGAAAATGCTAAAGATGGTCCAAGCTGCCTGCTTGGAGATCCTGTGGAGGTCTCTAGAGGAAACAGAACCAACCTATGTGCTGGGTATTGTGCATACAGAGACAAGATAGGGTTTTTTAGGAGTGAAATTAGGAATCTCAGTAAAATCACATCTAAGGTATCTTTCCTACAAGTATGGAAAGACAAATACAAATCTTTGGTATATGTAAACAACTTCTGAGTAAGCCTAAGAGCTTAGTGGAGCACAGTTAAACAGAACGGTTAGATTTTAACTCTGGTTAACAGGGTACTTTGTGCTGAAATCAGAGGTGTGAAGCAAGGTGCCTTGTCACCCTCAGGGATCTAGCCTGTCCTCCTCAGAACTGCTCTAAGAGCAAAAGAATTTGAATGTCACAGAATTGTCTGCAGGCCTGAACCCTTCATGGTCTCAGGACCTCTGCTTCCCCTGTGTTGTCCCCTTCTCAAGCACATATCCGTTTTTAAAAGCTTGGTAGGATACTCGGGCTGTAAACAAATCAATCAAGGAGGCAAAGAGTTAATCACAAAGAGGGCAGAGCCCGTCAGTCAATAATGTAAGTCTTGAGTAGCAGATGTTTCTGAGCAACTTCGTGGGGGGGTTGTTTTTGATTGCAGAGGCAGAACGGGTGGCAAACGTGAGGCACCCAGGGTTTCTGTTCCAGCGGTTCATGCTGCAGGACCTGCGGGAGTGTGTCGGGAAACTCAGTGCTGAGAGCTTTGCTGGAGTAAAGAGCTGTGCAGAACCCCCAGCTCTGCTACACGACATAATTAAGGCTGTGCTGTTGCTTTTGCATCCAGACTGGAAGGGCTCAGAGGAGATCGAGAACTGGAGTCAGTGTAAACTGGTGAGGCTTCAAATCACTGAGAGTTTGTTTTCTATTATTACTCCCTCAAGAAGACTCAGTGGAATTTGCCAAGGGGGAATTGGCAGTGAAATAATTCATTACCTATAGATTTCCTGTATGCTTCTCTCTACCATCTTTGATTCTGTAACCTTTTCATCACCACACGACTCTTTCTGTTCTTTGCATTGCAGAAACTTGATGACAATTTGATTCAGGAGATTTATTGCTTTGATCCAACTGCTGCATCTGTGCAAATTCAAGCAGAGCTGCTGGACTGCATCACTGGTAAATATAATAAACTCCTTGTGAGGTTCCCAGGCACAGCCCAGAAATAGTGTCGGTGGCCACCTTCAGCTGAGTACTTTTAAGGTCCTTACTTCACAAATTAACTTTGATTTCACAAGAGATTAAACAACAGATAAAGGTTCCTAAATATCTGCAATCTTTTTTGGTCACCAGAAGTCAACCCGTTAAATTTAGACTCAAAATTCACGGCCTTAAAGAAAGAGGAGCAGATCAGCTTTGAAAGCTTCCAGAACAAGTGATCTCATTGTACACCTCCAGATAAACATATGAAGAATGAGAGTTCTTTTGGCAAGTAATATGTGAAGACATATGAAGAATGATGGTTCTTTTGGCAAGCAAATCTACTTCAGACCTCTGTGCCCTGCCCTAGGGACTGACCCAGCTCCAAACAGGAACATGACTGTGGGAGGACAGCGTGAGCCCTCCTCTTTGTAAACACCATCTGCCAAGTGCTTAATGTACTCACTGGCCACAAACAGGAGCTGGTTTTCAGCCTGTCTTTCTCTCCTTTAATAAACATGGGCTTTTTTGGTGCCAGGGCACTCAAGAGGCTATTATTATTATTATTATTTGCAACATCTCTGCAAGAGAAATTACTTGTTCTTGTTGAGATCTCTCCCTTGATGATCTGAGAGGCCTGTTAAAAAACAAACCTGGACAAGAGTTATTAATTTAGCTGGAGATATTTATCAACAGTACCTTGCCTGCTGATAAAGAGTAAACACTTGAGGCCGTCATGGTTCCTTTTCATGTGTTCTCCTCATATATATTAAACTAATTCACTGGAAAGAACAAGGCAGGCCTACAGCATCTGATGTTCCTACAGCTATGGACAAAGATGTAACTAGATTAAAGAATACAGCTTTGGCCAATTGCTGGTATGCTAGGAAAGGTTGGTTTCCCAGGATGAAATGCAGGTATAACTCACAGTTACAGGAATTCCTTTAAAATGAACATCAGGTAATACACATATGTTCCATATATTTGTGCTGTAATATAGAACAGAGCACAAAACAACCTGTATTCTATGGACAGAGCAACCTTTATGGCATGATTATGTGGTGACTTTTAATAGCACTTAGTAAAAGCTTTGAATGATATTACTCTTAAATCTGAGCTTGGATTAAAAAAGCACTTTTCTCATTGTATTTTTGATTATCAAAAGTTTAGCATTAAAATATAGCAGAGCACTTTGTACAATAGGGGACCTACCACAGTACAGGATAAATTATAATAAAAAGTCAGCACTTCTGTGCTTGACAGGTCACGGTCACAATAATGCTCGGTGCCTTTCAAAGCATCACCATTCTGCAGGGTGGAATTACTGGACTCAGGGAAAGCACTGCTGATGGGATGACCTCTCTTTGATTTTGGGGCAACACTGCTCGTGGTTTTGACTTTCCCCCTTGTAGTTACAGCTCTTTTTCTGTTGCAGGTGTCCCTCGAGCGGCGGTGTGGCAGCAGGGCTGTGCTCCAGCCGAGTTCCTGTACCACTGGGTTCACACCTGCCTGGCACTCGCAGAGATCACAGGGAGCCAACACAGTGAAAAACCCCATCCTTAGTTCCTTTTGGCATCCAGTTGTTGTGTGCCTCCAATTAAATCTCTTAATTCCTCGTCTAACCCTCGTGATTCTAGTATTTCACAAATTTTAAAATTTAAATTAACTGTTGTTTTTCTATTTTTTTAAGCATAGCCACCAAGTATTTGTTGTTAAGATGGTTGAAGTTTGTTAGGGATTACTAGTTAAAATGATAGGAAGTCTGTTAAGGATTATTAAGAAAAAGTAATAAAAACATTAAAGGAAACTATTTTTCTAATATAGCTACTGAATTTTAAAGGTTTGAATAAAGTTTTGGGTGTTTTTAAGCGGTGACTTTATGACTCCCAAGCTACAATCTCATAAATGATACAGCAAAAATTTTCAAGATTCAGTCACCTTAAATGACTTTTTCAGAATAATTTTAAACAGAGGTTATTAATCAGCATTTTGTAACATTCTTCTGAACACGCTACAGAAAAGCCCAACACTGTTAATATAACACAAAAAGCTTTCTTATTGGGATAAAGCTTGATATTACAGCAACTGCACTGTCGGCAGCGAGATTTCATCTTTCCAATAACGTCCCTTTTGGCAGAATCACTTTTTTAATAATATTTTGGGAAATTAAAACTCCTCTTTCAGTCTTTAGCGGGCAACAAGTGACAGGTCTGTGATGACTGGGGGGGGCAGGACGGCTCTGCACCCCCGGCCCGGGGACCGGCGACCACCAGGGGCATAGTCGGGGGTGCCTCAGGGGCTTTTCCCTTCAAGGACCTTTTCACTTCAAGGACCTTTTCCCTTCAAGGGCTTCGCTCCATCAGGGGCCTTCCCCCCTCAGGGACCTTTCTCGCCTCAGGGGCTTTTCCCGCCACTGCCCGGAGGCGCCCCCCGCTCCCCTCAGGGCGTCGCGCGCCGGCGGGACAGCCCCTTCCCGCATCGGCACTTTCGCCACCCACCAACGGGGCGCTGAAAAAAAATCGCCCGCCGCCTCCAGCCCCCTCCACCCGCTCTCCGCTCCCTTCCTGGAGCGGGACGGCGGCGCGGTGCCCTGGGGGTCTCCGGGGAAGGCGGAGAAAAGTGTGTGGGGGCGACTCGGACGAGAAGAATCTGCGGCCGCGGAACGGCAGCGGCTGCGCAGGGGCGGCCGGGCAAGATGGCGGCGTTGGGGAAGCAGTGAGTGCTGAGGGGGAAGGGGCGGGCGGGCCCCGCCTGGGGGTCTTGGGGGCCGGCGCTGAGGGTGGGGACGAGCTCTGGCACAACTCCCCCCCGTGGACTCGCTCGTCACGGGTGTCCGCGGCATAGCCCCGCTGTGTTGGCCTGAATTTAAACCTGTGTTTATTAAAAGCAAACGAACCCCAAACAGCGGGCAGGCGCTTGAGGCAGCGGCGGTGTTGCCCGGAGGTGTTTTGTACTCTTAGGGAAGGGAATTTCCTCAGTTTTCCCTCACACAGAGCCGCGCTTCCCACTCCCGAGCGCCGGCCCCGGGGGCAGCCGGGTCGGAGGGAGCTGAGGGGAGGGTTCGGGCGCTCACAGAGGTGGGGTTGTACCCCCACGGTGGTGCGGTGCCCCAGCTCAGAGATACACTCTGACGAACCATTCACTCAGTGATGGACTCAGGGAAAGGCAGGCGGGGGAGAAATTCCTTATTTAGAGGTTGCTCAGTACGAAAAGGAGGTATTTTTAACAGAGGTGGGCCGTGTCTGCGGAAGAGCTGTCTACATGTGGTTAATCAATCTCTGCGTGACATAAGCAGACTGTAAGTCTTATCCTTTGGCCTTTGTAAACCTGAGGTTTACATCGCCAGCAAAACAGGTGAACTTCTTATTGCACTGCAAACGTAGCTACACAATACTGTGGTGTAGATTAAGGCTAAATCCCTTCAGGTTAAACAGTTATTTCTTACTTCTCTGAGGGAGAAAAGAAAACCTCATGGAGAATTCTGGGCAAGAGGGGTTTGTGCCTAATTTAGGACACAAATTTACATCCAGAAACTTTACATGGAAGAAGATAGCCATAGCTCTGGGATTATCTGGCAGGTGTGTGTCAGGGCCGAGAGCTCTGCTGCAAAGGCAGCTCAAACCTAACTTCGATACATTATATCGATACTGAGCTTTTGCTTCTGAAATGGTGAGTGGCAGATTTTTGCTTCGGAACATGCCACATGTTTTGTTGTAAGTAACTTTTTTTTCTTTCTTTTCTCTAGATACGGGCTTATTATGCCAAAAAAATTGCCACAGAAGAATCTCGTTTCAAAGAAGCTCTCGGTGTTTGCAGATGAGTCAGATGAAGAGGTCGGTTCAACAATTTTCTTCTGAAATTTTGTCCTGTATTTTGCAAATTGTTTGTGTCCGGTTCTTAATCAGGTTATGGCAGTGTCACTAGGATTTGTGTCATCATTTTGGATTTGGGTGTGAAACATGATCTGTGTTGTCTTTAGGGTGAGTTACATGGAACTGATGAGTTGATTGTCACACTCTGTGCAACCTCTTGGCAGGAGTTAATTGTAGCTTGTAATAAGATTTGTTGGATGTCACTGGTGAATACATTTAGAAATAGAAAGACCAATCAACAGGTCTTCCCCAGATATTAATCTAAAGTGTGGTAATTAAGTGTATTTTACCCTTTAAGGATATTATTAACTGTATTTTATCCTTTAGCTCATTCCACCCAAATTTGATGTAACTGATTTATCATGTTCACACTCACTGTGAACAAAAGCAAGGCTGTACAACCCAAAAGTTTTAAAGCAAAAGGAGATGTGTGATATTACACGATAGTGTTCTTTTCTATAATCTTTAATTTTTTAAGTATTACCTTCAAAATAGTCGCTCCCTACCTGCCCCAGTAGAGGGCGGTGTGTGCTGTAAATCCTACCTGGATATGCCTCTGGGAACACGGGAAGCATCCAGGAAGGGGCTGTGGAATGAGCTGGTCTGGGGCCCTTAGGAAACCCATCTGCTAAAACAGAATTTGTGAAGGATTTGAAGCCAGTAGCTTCGTAGTTTGCAGGTAAGAAATAGAAACTCTGGATTGTGGAGTTAACTCTCCACATGGATGGAGCCCTCTGAACGTAATGTTACAATTTTCTGGGCTTTATCGATCTGGAATTACTTGTGGTAATTTAGTCATAATGTCATTATGTACATACTTAGGGGTTTTTTTTCCACAAAACCCAGAAAATAAATTTTACCTATACCTATAGTCTAGAATTTTAGCATTTAAGAAGTTGAACTTTTGTATAATTTGAACTTTAGAAACAGAACCTGTGTTACAAAGACGTTCTTATTTTCCTAGAGCTTTGCTCCATGCTCATTCTTTTGTGTGGTTGAAAAAAACAAGGCTAATAAAGCTTCAAATAATTTTGGTCAGTTTTTGACTCATGAAATATTTGTTTTTTAAAATCTTTTTGAATAAACTAGCAGTTGTATTTTTTATGTCAAAGCCTGAATCTGGCATTTCCCAGCCTCTGTGTACCTGGTTCCATCACAGCATCCAGGGTGTTGCTGTGGAAGGTGTCTGAGCTCCTGTTACACAGGGCATGAAAGGGCTTAGGGCCTTCCTAGTGATACCCCCTCAACCTGAAACTGCCTCAGTGCAGCTCACAGTGAACAGAGACAACAGGGATGGGTTTTAAATCCCATCTCCTTCCTCACTTAGCTGTGGTTTTCAGAGGTGCATCCCTTCCCCTGAGCTCACAGCTGGCTCTGTGGCTCTGGAGGCTTTCCTTTAACTGCAGCTAATGGAGAGGGCAGTGGATCCTGTCTCCTCAGTGGCAGGAGCACTTTCCCTGTCAGTTGGGATTTGGTGTCTTTCTCTACATTAAGGATCTGACCCCACATTTTCCAGATTCCAGGAATAAGCTGGATTTAATCTGTTGTCATTAAACATTACACAGTAGGAGTGGGAACCTTCCCGAGTAGGGGACTGTCTTGTATTCTTTCATTTTCTCTCAATATCTAAATATTAAAGCAAAAAGAATGAATGCTAATAATTCTAGTAAAAATAGTGTATGATGCTGTCTGCCAACTTTTAGCTTAACAGCTCAAGTATCCTCCCTTTCAGAAAGGCTGACAGATTCACTGCCAGAGTCTTTATAAGACTCTTAAAAGTTGTCATGCTCAGTATGGTACATACCCAGCAAAAAGTAATAATCTCATAACTGCCTTTATCAAAGAAGATTGTGGGTTTTTTTAAAAAAAAGCAACATTACTTTATTAGTTCTATAATAATTTCAGAGCTTTTCCAGATAAGGAGCAGCATTTGGGAGGGGTTTCATTTCCTGTCTGCTACCTTATCAGTCAGAACTACATCTCAAATGTCTGGAGATCATGTATTTTTAACTGAACTCTAATAAAGTTTGTGCTGGGGAATCTGCACACCTGACTTGGTCTGTGATTATGTATTAGATACCAAACTTTTGCTCCCTTTTTTTTTTTTTAATGTTACTATGCATATTTCATTAAGATTTTGCCTGTATCCTCGCTGAAGGAATTAGGATTCTTTTTCCCCCTGTAGCTAAGTACATTAATGGGTGTTAGTTGCTAATGAAGATGATCTTTGGTTTAGTTCATATGAAACAGAATATCTAGGGTGGAAATTTTCTTGAAATACAATGTTGACTGGGAAAAAGTAAACCAGATGGTTACAGTCACTTGTAGCCAATATAGTTCTGAATTATTTGTCTTCATAATGAGGAGTTGTTGAGGAAAAGGTTGTTGCCCCTAGGAAAGCCTGTTGTAGAGAGTAGATGCTACAACAACAAACTATAATATAGAAATGAGTTTCCATTCTGACTTACTGTTATTTGTGATCTATTCATTTTCTCCAAAGAGATTATTCCCTTATTCATGCATTGTGTTTTCAGAGGTGGCTTGTCAGTGTTCCCAGTGTGTTGTTCATTGTTCTGTTTTACCTTTGGAGTTTAGTTGAAATTATCTCTGTGGTACAGCAGATAAAATTTCTGTTCCTTGATTGTATCAGAATTACCCAGGATATTCCTGTACCTTACCAGCCTTTCAAAACTGATTTGTTCCTGCAGATTGAAAAGCGTTGCACAAAAAATAATTGTACATAGACCTCAGTAGGTGCTAAATTCAGGAGAAAGATCATGGAGTCAGTGTGGATAGTTCTGTGAATGTATAGCTGGATTTGGTGGGTTTTTTAGTGACCATCTAAAAGATAAATGAAGTATTTAAGCTGGAAATAAGCAGAAATTGTAGACTCAGGTTTTTGGGTTTGCTTACAGATCCTCCCGTTCCCTTTGCAGTTCTGCAAAGGAACAGTATGACTGAAAAAAGGATTCTCTAAGTTGTAAGGATTGGTGCTGACCAGAGTTTATGCAACAGTTCCAGGCACAGTAAGACTAAGTAGACTAAAGGGGCTCTTAGAAAAGAGTTTTCTGAGGAGGAGGAAGTGGACAGGAGTAACTCAAGAGGATGTATGTAGAATGAAGAATGATTCAGAGGAACTGAGGTGATATTGCCATTTCTCATAATATGAACAATAGGTTATATTGTAGAATTACCAAGTAACTGGTGACTGGTTTAATCTAAACAAGAGGAAGTTGGGGATTCTTCTGTACACAGTGTGGAACTCCTT